CATATGCTGAGAAAATTGTAGAGCAATGTGGCATGACTGGTTGTAATATAGTAGACACCCCCATGGATCAGAATAGCAAACTCCTACCTGGCAGACCTGATATGGCAAGAGACATAACCAGGTTCAGAAGCATAGTTGGTAGTCTGAGGTATTTGGTGAATACTAGACCTGACATAGCATATTCTGTGGGCATGGTTAGTAGATTCATGGAGTCCCCTACCAATGAACATTGGGCTGCTATAAAGAGGATTGTTAGACACATAGCAGGAACTTCTGAATATGGATGCAAGTACCTGAACAAACCTACTGAAAAACTGAAACTGTTGGGTTACTCTGACAGTGATCATGCAGGTGACCTGGAGAAGAGAAAGAGCACATATGGAGTTGTGTTCTTCCTGAATGGCAATGTGGTGACATGGACTTCACAGAAACAATGAGTTGTGTCACTGTCCAGCTGTGAGGCTGAGTATATTGCAGCAGCATTAGCAGCTTGCCAAGGGGTGTGGTTGAGTAGGCTCATTGCAGATCTGATTGGTCAAAAACTGCAGAAATTCAGGCTTCTAATGGACAGCAAGTCGGCACTCGAGCTGTGCAAAAATCCAGTGTATCATGAAAGAACCAAACACATAGACACTCGATACCATTACATAAGAGAGTGTGTTGTGAATGGCATTGCTGAGGTAGAGCATGTGAGCACTGACAGGCAGCTAGCAGACATCCTGACGAAGCCCTTGGGAAGGATCAAATTCGTGGAGATGCGACAGCAGCTGGGCGTCAGCAAGCTAAGTCACGATTAAGGGGGTGAATTGTTGATGTTCATACTTGTAATCGTGACAGTATCATTGTACTCATGTAGGTGCATTAGATGTTTGTTACAATCATGTAATAGCATGTTTAGTTAGCGCGTAGAATTGTGGGCAGCGTGGAGATGTGCATGCGCTGCATCATGACCGCGTCCTAAGGCCTATCTCCGCCATGGCGCGCTCGCCGTGCATGTCGCGCGGGTGACCGAGTAAAACGGCACACCGTGCAGCAGCGAGTCGTGGCGGGGAATGCGGATCAAGGCCAGTTAAGTATTGAATCAGTGCATCAACAGAAGCTGCGCATTGCAGTGGAAAAAGTGTGTCTTCTCGCGTGTTCAGTTACAAGCTCTCGCGTTCCAGCTCCTGGTGACCGCGCTCCGGGCAACGCCGGCGGCGGTGAGATCCTAGGTCCGGCGAGCCGCTGGTCCTAACAAAAGCGATCAGAGAAAAGAGGAAAAATTAACCTTGCTGTCCGTGGGCGAGGAGTGGCAGCCGGCACGACGTACGTACCATGGCGACTCCGGCGAGGTTCGCTGGCCGTCCCGGCGGCGTCGGAGGGCGGCAGCACCACGGCGCCCTTGCTGGGCCTCATGGCGGTGGAGGCGCTGCATGTTCTTGCTCTGGAGGGGCTTCACGAATCACGATGAAGTCCTCGGCGCCGGTATTCAGTCATTTGCTCCGAGCAAGCAGCAGATCGTGGAGACGGGGACGGAAGATCGCTGTCGTCACGGGGCCAGGAGACGGGGGCAAAGGAGCGATCGTGGGCCGCATGGGACTGGAGACGGTCACAATCGGCAGAGGCGAGGGCTGGAGACGGTGACGCCGCCACCTGATCCTGGTCCTGATGCTCCACGCGCGACAGGGACGAAGGCGCGGTCGTGGGGTGGCGGGGCCTGCAGACCGTGAGCGCGAGTGGGGTTCGGAGGCAGGTCCTAGAGGCGTGCAGCGCCGGCCGCTGGAGACGGTGGTGCCGGAGGTGGTGTAGTCGACCCGGATGTCGCGCGGATGTGTTGCCTTACGCGCGGATACGTCAATCGCGGATGTCTTGCCTTAAGTGCGGATGAGGGCAGGGGGCTAAGTAGGGTACGGATATTTTCCGACTGTATTCGAGTCCGAATCCGTTTAGAGGGGTTCAGATTTGTCCGTATCCGAATCCGGATATTCAACGTCCGATACCATATCCGTATCCGAATACTCAAATCGCATATTTATGATGTCGACATCTAATCGTATCATATCCGGCATGGTTGATACTATCCGTATTCGAATCCGAATGCGACTAGAAATGTGAAAACAAATATAATATCAGTGATATCTGTTCGTATCCGATCCGTTTTCATCCTTAGGGCTGAGTAGGGATGAAAACGGTACGGATATTTTCCGACCGAAACCGAATCTGTTTAGAGAGGTTGAGATCTGTCCGTATCCGAGTCCGGATATCCAACATCTGATATCGTATCTGTATCCGAATACTCAAATCGCATATTTATGATGTCGATATCCAATCGTATCCTATCCGACATAGTTGGCACTATCCGTATTCGAATCGAAATCCGGACAGAAATATGAAAACAAATGTAATATCGGTGATATCCGTTCGTATCCGATCCGTTTTTATCCCTAGGGCTGAGGAGTACCATACACGAGATCCTGACCGTCACATATGAGTTGCGTTTTTTTCTTTTGTATATTTTGTGGGTGCGTGGAGGAAGGCCATCTACGCGGGGAATGTTTTTTCGGTAGACTTCGCATAGAAAAATATGGTGCTTTAGTAGTGTAGATATTAGATTTTCTTTTCCACATATTATCCTAAACCAAGTTTAAATTGATTGTTCGAGCCCTAAACGAATTTAAATGAAAAAATTGTCAACTATAAAGTTGTATAACTTTTCGAAATCTACAACTTTCATTTTGGTAGTTTCTCCATCCGATGTCTTTACAAAATTTGAATTTCAAATTTGAGAAATTCAAATGTAGTTTATCTTGACAAGATAATCTCAAATAAAAAAGTTGTTAACTACAAAGTTGTATAACTTTGATATTTACAACATTCATTTTGATTGTTTATCCATCTATGGTTGGTTGAAAAATTCAAATTTCAAATTTTAGAAATTCAAACATAGTTTTCTTTGACAAAATGATTTGAAATGAAATAGTTGTCAACTACAAAGTTCTATAAGTTTTCGAGATCTACAACTTTCATTTTGGTTGTTTCAACATCCAAGAAAGTTTGAAAAATTTAAATTTCAAATTTGAGAAATTCAAATATGGTTTTTTTTACAACATGATTTCAAATGGAAACGTTGTCAACTATAAAGTTTTATAACTTTTCAAGATTTACAACTTTCATTTTGGTCATCTTTTCATGTGACTTTGTTTTATGACTTCAAAATTTGAATTTCAAAAAATATCAACTTGAAACGATATTTTAAAAGAGTAAATGATTTCCACTGAAAAAGTCATCAACATAAAAGTTGTAGAAATGATCAAGATTTACAACTTTTATTGTAATCATGTCTTCATCCGATAAAGTGAAATTAACATTGTTCACAAATTTTACATATCTCAAAGTTTATGAAAATATAAGAGAGATATGTAAATTTATGAATAATGTATAGCACCACTTTGTCGGATAAACAAATGGCCAAAATAAAAGTTGTAAATCTTGATGAGTTCTACAATTTTTATGTTCATGAGTTTTTCAGCTGAAATCATTTACTACATCAAAATATTGTTTGAAGTTGTCATTTTTTAAAATTCAAATTTTGAATTGATAAAACAAAGTCACGTGAAAAGATGGCTGAAATAATACAAGTAAGAACACAATAAATTGATAGAGCAAGATTTAAGAAAATTTTAGCAAAAAAATTATCAAATTTAATGTTAGTACGAGGGAAAAAGAGTAGTTACAAGTTTAGCCTGAAATTAAAATTTTTTTTTGGGAGTTGTTTAACAATTTAAAAATTAAATTTCATAGACCATTTTCAAGCAGTAAATGATTGTAAATGAAAAAATTGTAAATAACAAAGTTCTATAACTTTTCAAGATCTACAACTTTTATTTGATCATTTCTCCATCCGAGGTTGTTTGAAAAAATTCAAATTTTAGTACTTAATTTTTACTATTCAGTGCCTATTTATAGGGGCGACTCAACTACAAATAGGGCCATTGTAGGGGTGACTGGTAACACCAGCTTACCCTACAAGTGGATTTGTAAGGGTGGTTCGTTTGGGATCCATGTGCAGGGCGGTTCAATATAGAGCGCTGTTACAAAAAAGGGAGATGTTCCTACAAATCCTTACTGTAGTAGTGTTGGTATGCAGTCTCGTCCTATGAGTGACATGTCATATGCTTCTGAGTGCCATGTCATATATGCCACCGCGTGTCCGATTATGATCAACAACTTGCTACGCGTGTCGTATCCCAGAAGTGCCACATCTTGTCAAATTGGTACATCGTCTGTCAAGAGTGCAACACATGTCCAACAAAGTTATTTGTATAAATTTTATAAATTTACGGTTTAATTACATATTAAAGAAATCTATAAATTTAATTACATAAAAATATAAAACCCGTGTGTAGATCTGGTTTATAGTAAGCTTACAAAATCTATTTAACTTTTTTTAATACTTGTGTGACTCATTATCTTAATCATCAATTTTAATTTAACTTTGTTTAATTAATACTTATGTGATTTATTATTATTTATTTTACAAGTTTAAACTGATCTGATTATTTTAAAAATGAATTAAAATCTAATAACTGATTTTGCATTAGGCACCCTAATTAATTTCGCATCGTCAGTTTTTTTCTGCTTGGAGAGCCGGACCAGGGACACCACGAGGTGCTCCAAAAAATTTAGCTCCCACCCCCGCGAAAACCTACGATGCTAAGTACAAACGGGCCCGCCAATTTCCCTCCCTAAAACGCGGTTTATAGATTCCAAAATCATAGGCCTCGGAGAGACGAGCGCCGTCGCCCACGTCGCGCGGTTCGTGTCCTTCGATCGGATCTACTCCACTGCTACGGCAATGGAGAAAACTGCATCAAGGACGTCGCCGTCTACTACCTCCTCTAGGTCGCCATCTCCTCCGCTAATTATACAGAGGCCGTCTACTAGGAGATTGCCATCTCCTCCGTCGAGGTCGCCCGATCCTCCGTTGTCCACCAGGACACTGTCCAGACGGCTGCGATCCCATGAAGCCGAGGACACACCTTCTCGTGGACAAGATAAAAGAAAGAATGAAGACGATGACCTACCCAGGTACGCATTCGATGGGCTTAGTTTGCTAATAACCGTACCGAGTTTGCTAGGTTTATTAGTTCTTCGCCTTGAAAAAGATAGAAATTAGAAACTATGTATTTTACCAGATTCTTTTGCGGTTCGGAACTGAATGGAAAGGATGAGTAAAGCACTAGTAGATAGTTAGATCCCATAGTAATTATATGGGTATTTTTGCATAATCACAGTGGTAGGTTTTTCTCATTACCCAGTCACCTGGTGCGTCTATCAACTAGATTATGTTTTCTGTACTACCAACCTAATATGAGTAGCACAAAAGTTCTTGTATTTTCTCATGAAGAATAAATCATGTGTCTGTAGATGTTGAGTATATATTAAGACAACGAGATTAGTGGATAAATACCTGCACTCCCCATGCCAGGCCAACAGATAAAATTGCAGAGGGAGCAGACCATGATCCATCTGATCTGCGAGCAACCACAAGACCAGTGCCTACTTTGTATGTAAGAACTGCACCTGAATTGGCAACTGTTAGAATTGCAAGTCCCTTAGCTCGCTTGTATATAAGAACTGCACCTGAATCTAGCAACCTACACATTCCAAAAGACAAATTCCAGGTTCCAAACCTCTAACATATACGAGGTGCTCCAAAAAATCTTTGTAGTTTTAAGCTTTCAATTATAATTGGTTGGATGTGATACAACTGGGGTATGCTTGTGTTTCCTGGGAAGAGATAGGATAAGTGCACACATGATGTTATAACACTACTGTTTCTATTGAAAGAACAATTTAGATATTGGGTAAATTTGAAAATTTAGGTAAATTGACCATATTGCAGTGAATAATTTTATATGGTTTGTTCCCAAAATTGTTAGGAATTTGCCATATTGCAGTCATTAATTGATTTTACAATCATAAGATAAATTTGTTGAATGAAGTTAAAATATTTTGTAGGAAAACACACGAGAAAACGAGAGATAGATAGAAAATATTTATTGATTTCTCGGGGGGACCCAAGGACCAGCAACGTGCCATATTGGACATTGACCGTGCTAGAATTACCTTTGCCAACTTATTAAAGTACAAAGTTAAGTTGGGTTATTCTACGAGGGACTTCATGTACTATATGAAGAGATGTGGCAACGATAGAGCTTTGCTGCAGCGTATAGATTACGAAGAAGATGTATTGACAATGGTAGAAGTTTGTACAGAAGAGAAGACAATTAGGATAGCAGTTTCAACAACTCAGGTAGATCAAGAAGGAGAATATTCAATCACACCGATTAAGCAACGTAGTACACATGAGGAAATTAGTGGAAAAGGAATTCAGAATGAAGACATTGATGCGTACAAGGTGTGGCTCAATAAGCTGCCATAGGATGAAAACAACCCAGGTACTAATGTACTAGAAAAATACATCTCAATGATTTTTAGTTACTGATCTAAAACTGACACTATATATATAACATCTATATATGCATCTCGCAGAATTTAAGGATGACACCCGGCTGAATACTGTTGCAACATATAAAGAATGGTTGAGCAGGGAAGGGCTTCTTCAAGATATATGTAATCTGATTTTGTTTTATCTTGGCACTAGTGGAAGCATTAATATATATATATATATATATATATATATATATATATATCCAACTCCATTGTAACTGTGTACTTTCACTTTTTTGTATGTGCAGACGCATATTTAGATGATGAAACCATTGAAGAAGACGGAAGTGGTGACAATAGCGCAACACCAATGCAGTTTCCAGCTCATGCTCATAGGCCAAAGGCCTCTCAGAAAGGTATGCAATGGTTCAGAGTGTTCATACATTACTATAACATAAAAATGCTGATTTATAATGTTAACATACGTTCCATTTTATAACATCAATTTTACAGTAGGGGTTGGCGACAAGAGAAAGATTGGGCGTGGAACCTTGAAAGGTTTATCGGTCGAAGCTAAGAGATTTAAACTTGGCCGAGAAACTTAGTATAGATTTCTCATCCACGAAAAGGCGGTCCCTCTGAGGAGATAACTATCGCGGGTTTGTTGATAAAATAGTTCGGTTTACAAGAAAAGGACTCCACTTATTGGAGTTAAAAAGTGGGGAGATGTCAATGATTGTTAAAGATAAAATAGCACGAGATATAATGGTATGTTATAGTCTTGCTCCCGCATATGATAAATTAATTCTTTGTAATATCTTATTTGTTCACAATTTGTTGGTATCCCTTTTCTACAGGTTAGGTGGAACATTGAGAACAATGATGATGAGAAGGCTAGGATATGGAAGATTGCAAAGTATCGTTACAAAGGATGGTGAGCTCAATTGAGTGCCACATACAAGGCATACAACAGTTATCATGAAAGAATGAGACATAAACCAGATGATTTGGACATTGTGGAGTGGCACTACTTGGTGTTGTATTTTGGAAGTGACAAATTCCAGGTTCCAAGCCTCTGACATATATGTGTTTATTGTCTGTATTTTTGTAGTGCAACTAACATATCTGTGTTTATATTAGCGAATAAGCACCACAAACTCTAGCAATTCACAGCATCGACAGACAATACATCTTACAGGATCAAAACCTTTTTCACAAGTTAGTTATGAGCAGGTAATGATATGGAACCTAATCTTCTTTTATTTTTTACCTAAACAGTAACAATGTTCAATTTTCATATCTTAGAGAAACCTGGAGACTGGTGAAGAGCCAGATGGTTTGACATTTTGGAGGAGTACACGCACCAAGGAGGGCCAATGGTCTTCTGATGCTGCTAAGGAAATATATGTAAGTGCTACTTTGTTCATTAGTACTTAGTGATGTTGCAATTATATATAACATAATTATTATATTGATGGTTGTACATGCCCTGATTGGGTGATAAAAGGTCATCATCTCCTTGTCCGTGTGTTGGGTTTGGCAATCCTATCTTTAGTTTCTTATTTATGCTATTTTCAGCTGTGCCACCTGTTCTTTTTGGTATATCAAGTTTGGATGAGCCAAATGCTTCCAACCTTTTTCTGTGGTCTCCTGATAGCATGTGGTAGCTGCTGTAATTTTTGTAGAATTTTCTATGCAAGTCTTGTATATGGTCTTTTATGCATCCTTGTATCTATTTAAATTTAGAAAAGCATCAAATAATTTTATTTTATGATGGCCATCATATTTTCTGGTGTCCATGACTTATGTATGTTGCCATAATATGGTTGGTATGGTCCAAATGTAAGTTTGGAACATCATTAATTCTTTAAGTGAGATGTTGGTCCCATCTGGACAGATCTGGGGACTTAGAGAAGTTCACCTTGATAAGTTGGTTTCCTGGGAAACTTGTGAATACCAAAGTCGAAGATAATTGTCATATCTAGCTTCTGTTCAAATTTGAGGTCATTTGGCCTAGTGGTTTGAAAGTTACAGCTGTTTGAAGTTACCTCCCAGTTTTTGGGTGCTCTCTGTTTCAACAGAGTAGTTTCTATAATTATGCTATTTCGAAGTACTTAAGTTCTGAATCATGGTTTGATGTATGAAGATGAAATCTCGAGAATTTTATAAGCTTTCCATAATGGCCTCTGTAATGTCATTTCGACTTGTATATCTCTAGATATGATTTATTTTTTTTGCATGCCCAGATTTCTGGGAACTTGCTGGAAAGCAAGTTGCTTATGTTAGATGCTTTATGTAGTTAATTATATTCTTTAAAGTGATTTGAATAGAGCTGGGCTACTCAGTAAACGAGTGTCCAGTGATGTATGTTCTCATAACATGTTTTATTCATTTATCTCCAATGTCATACATATCTCTGAAATGCTAGAGTTCAACTGTACATTGCTTTTTACCTCTCAACATGCTTTGCTAGGAATCATATTTGCATGATTAACATGGACTTTGATTTTTGAGGAAGTAATCAGTACATGAATCTAACTGATACAGTTTGATTTCCAAAGTATCCATTTTACCCAATTCTTATTATACTTGAACTGGAACTGCTGTTGCTACTTGCTAAAGTTGAAAACACTAATTGTGTTCTTAAATTTAGGAAAGCGCCTTCTCCAAAAATGCAGAGAGAATTGAGTTGGAAGCTTCTGTGATTTCAATAGAACAAGAAAGGCACATTCTTCATGAAACCTACAAGGAAACCACTGGATGCAGGAGCATGAAAGGTCCTACACATGGATACTTGGCAAAGTATCCAACCCGAAGCCAACTTATGAATGAACGAATTGAAGAGCAAGCTCGTGCATCTGCATTAGCAGCAGCAGCCCAACAGAAGAATAGTGAGATGCAAGCTGAGGTTGAGAAGTTAAAAGAAAAGCTTACCGTTCAAGCCGCTGAGAGGGAGAGCGACAAGGAAAAAATTCAGCAGCTGCAACATCAACTGGAGAGTACAAGTAGCAAGATTAGAGAAGAACTAAGGCAAGAGTTTTTTTCACTAATCAAATAATACAATCAAGCACCGCCTTTGGTAATAATACTACTTCTTAATTGTTACCAACATCATTGATTTTAGTAAAGCTTGATTGCTAATGTTTCTCCTTATAACTCCAATGCAAGAATGCTGCACCAACCACAACAGCCCCTCAGCCTGCAGAAAATATGGTTAGTGGAAATGAAGGTGCAGATTTAGCACATGTATTATTTTTGATAAATGCAAACTACGATGTAATGGATACCTACATTTAATCTGACATAATGTGTGAATCTTTTTAAAATATGAAGGTGGTACAGAATCACCCCACACATAATGAATCTCTTTGTTGCTCGACTCCCATCCAAGGATCGAGAACATGTGCAACAGGTAATATACTTCAAAATTATCACTGCAGTTGAACATATTCTTAGAATTGCTAAGTGGTGATTGCTCCTTCAAATCTTACGGTTTTTACAGATTGTGCAGACGAGTGTATTGTTGAGCAAGCAGAAGAGTATCCAACCTAGTCGCCTCACTCGTGCGCAACAGATCACTTTTCCCAAATGATAAAGATAGTAATGAGACGGTGACATTTATTACATCACAAACACTGAGGAATACTGCTGCAAATAAAAAGCTACAATGCAGAAAGAAAGGAAGAAAGGTATGACCAATCAGGTGTCATTTTAAGTTGTTGTCCAGATTATTAACATGAACTTTGTTCACTTATACATGTATGTTTGTTCACTTAACATGAGCAATCTGGAGTTCATGCCTTATGTGTATATAGTTCGGCTTCAGTATCCATTCTATTTGTTAAACCCAAAAATATTGTTGTCTATCATGTGTTGTCTATGTTTGATTCCAACTGTGTGATCAACTATATATATTACTAATGCATGTCATTTTGACTTTTTCAGGAAGATCAACCTTGAGGGAGTCTTGGCAAGCTGAATGAATCAAATATTGTGCAACGAGAAAGATGTCATGTTGATCTGTGCTAAGAGACATGTATTTTTGTTTATGATTGCCTATTTGTAGCATAAGTTAGTGGTTTGTAATGCACTTCAACTTTGCAATTACCTATTTGGAAATAGGAAGGCATTTGACTTCCTTACATTGTACAGCTATTGAATGCTTATGATCCAAGTTATTAATATGATTGCCTTTTTATGCCATTGAATTTTGTAATTTTATGAATTTCTGTGCAATGAATTTAAAGCAATAATTGGTTGCCCTTCAAATCTCATGTCGATGCAATAGTTTGTATTGCATCCAAGCTCATGTCGATGTGATAGTTTGTATTGCATCTAACCTCATGTCGATGCAATAGTTTGAATTGCATCGAACATAACATCGATGCAATAGTTCCTATTGCAACGAACCAAAATGATGATGCAATAGAACCTCTTGCATCGAATCAAAATGGTGATGCAATAGATTATATAGCATCGAACCTAATATGGATGCAATATAGTCTATTGCATCGAACGATAGCCGTTGCAATAGATGTATTGCATCAACATGATTTGGATGCAATAAGCTATTGCATCTCTCAATTTTGATGCAAGAGACAACAGATGGACGATGCAATAGCTGCTTCTCGCATCAACCACAAGTAACCAATGCGAAAGGCTATTGCATCAAGACCACTTGCATCGGCTGGCATCAAATGAGAAATTGATGCGAAACCGAACTATTGCATCTATTTTAGACCTATAACATAAAAAATTGACCGGTGCAACAGGGTCAAAATTTAGTAGTGCACACAGGATCTTAGGTTTTTCTGATCAGTTTATTTATTTATTATATTTTTTGTGTGCTGAATGAGACAAAAGAGGGTGAATTACATCTTGGGCCCAATAGATTTTTTCATCGACTTCCATAAAATTCTTATCCCTAGGGCACATTAGAACCTATGTAAAAGTTTGGCGCCATTCGAGATCTTTTCGTAGGTAGACTCAGTTCAACCTATAATTAATCAGTGCTATCACGCGAAAATTCAATTAAACCTCAGAAAGTAGCGAACCATCTCTGAAAAATCCCAAACTTGGTGTTTCCTTCACCTGTGTCACGTGCAAGCCTGAGAATAATTTTGAGACCAATGTGACACCGGAATGTATATTTCTAGTTGCCCAACAAATATTACACGAATTACACGCATGACAATAATTAAACACACAAGCCGTACAAATTAAAATTAGAATCCAATTAAACTATAACCTTGCAAACCTAGCTAAATAAACATTAATTTCTATCAGAATCACTGCCGGGATTGATCAGGCCATGCACACTAATTTGCCTCTATAGCCATATATGGTAATTGATGTCACGGATTATGTATCCGCTTGTATCGATGAAGGTCAATGCCCGTATGAGTGTACTCTCTCATGTCTCATAATACCGAAAGAATGGTCGGCCATAGATGTAACCTAATGAATGACCACTGCCCCTGTTAGTAATTCTTATGCAGTGCTAGCGTCCTTCTATAATGAGCTGGCTAAGGTTTCCATTGCAGAAGTCCCAATCGTACCCGAGTTGCTCCGTAGCTTGGTCTAGAATGGCCCACAAGCCACATGC